GCCCAGATCGTAATCGTGATTAAAATTCGATTAATTGAGCAGCCCTACCCGAAGCCCCAACCAGGTCATGACCACAGCCCCTGGATTGAGCCCTCCAGGAAAAACATCCCTAGGGAATCCCCAGACACCTCAAGCTGGTACCTGCCCCCAAAACAACCACAATAGCGAAGGCGGGACAAAACTATGACTCCCCACCCCCACTAGGTGATGGAGCTGATCAAAGGAGCCCAGAGGGATTGATCTAATGTGGTGGCAGAGGCTGTATCAAGATAAATATGATCTATCAGATGGTCTCCATATTGGTTAGAATTTATATTATTTTTAAAGTTCATGAGGACCATTTTCTTGGCAATAAAAACCGTGTGGTCTGTATTCATCTCTGTAGTGACATCATCAGACACAAGCACCCTAGTTATGCCAAACACATCAAAAGATCTGCTATGCCAAGATGACATCCCCACAGCAAATGAACAATCAGATTCAACAAATTCCATCTACAACTTGACCGAGGAAAAGCCAGAAGATAAAACCGAGCTTTGCAAGACTAAATCTGAAAAACTGACTTTGCCACAAAAATGGCAATCATTTTTCCACTCAAACCACAAACTAAAATTTCAAAAGCTAAGCTAACACAAACCTGAAAACACACAAAATGGCTCCTGATGTTGTGCATGTATTTTCCCTCCCTGGAGCATAAAATCCTGTTACAGAAATCGAGAAATAAGGGAAATTTTAAGCACCATGCAGTTTTGCATGGTGGAATGGGACCAATGACAGTGAACAGAAGACCCAAGACTAAAGCAGTAGAGGGAAGTTTGTTTATTGCTTTTACTGTCAAGGGATGTATGTTCGGAAGGACCTTTGGAGACATGTCCGCAGATGTATTAACAAACCAAAAGATGACACGGAAAAGGCCCCACAAAGTAAGAATATATTCGACAGAAGCTTAGTGAAGTGGGATATTTGTTGTGTCTGCGTGCAGAATTCTTAGTGCATAACATGGAGAAAGCCATTACGTCTGCTAACTTCCAGAGAGTTGTGCAAGCGGTAAAGAAAGCTTCAGGTTTCGTTGAAGAGACACTGTCATTCACAAGCCTCGCACAAAAACTGGGACATACACTACACAAAATCTCTGACATTATCCATTGTCGAGCCCTCATGGCAGAGGATTAAGCCCTAATCAAGTCCATTGACACGTTCAAGAAGTTGTAAGCCTCAAATTGTCTCGCTGTGCCTTGAACACATCGAGTGAGACAAAGTATAAACATTGCCCTTCACAGAAGATGTTCAGATTCTCCCTCACTACTTTCAAAAATCTGCAGCAAATGCCTTTTGTTACTTGGAGAACGAAGCCACAGCTTTTTCTTTTTCATTAGCATTCAAGTCTCTGAATGAATACAGAATAAAGATCTTTCCATTTACATAGTGCTCGAAGCAAAAGAGTAAAACAAGACCAAAAAAAACCCCCCTTCCACCTTAGAAGTACATTAAATTTCATAACGATAATCCAAGCAGCACAGCTGGCCAAGATTTCCAAACTTCTTTTATCAATGGAGAAAAGACTTTCCATGATCCAGGGAAAATCACTGGATGAGATTGAAATTCAAGGTTTGTATTGAAAGGAGCAAATATTAGGGCTAGGCAGGAGTTGAACATTATCCTTAATCAACAGAATTAAAACCTTAAAACACGGACAATTAACAGAATTGTCCATGTTTTAAGGTTCTTGAAGTCTTTTCTTTCATCACTTTGCAACTTAGCAGAGTGGTGGCCCATGTACACCTATGTACCGTGATAAAAGTGTTATTTCCAGTATTAACTTTCTTCTGTATTTTATCATGTGAGAGTGGGACTGAATCCGATGATGATGGTACAGAACTCGCAACGTCGGCATGTGGTACACGTGAGCCTGTGCATGCAGTCGCCGAGTCCACAAACGCAGAGCAGGTCCAAGACACTGGAGATTGTGGTAAGTTATGACTATTTTGGTTTCAGTGGATAAAATGTGTTTGTTGCGAATATTAAAACTTAATCAAAATGTGTAACCAGCAAATGAAGTGCTACTATGGATGCCTACAGCAATGAAACTGCCGCTCCCTCTGAAGGTAAGGGAAGTTTAGGTCTAAGTACCCTTATGTGTTTTAAAATATAATTTAAAATAGAATAAGACAGAATCAATAAAATGAGGTACAGTTGGTTCCCTAAGCTGATGGACACGTTCTTTGTAATTTTATTGTATTTCTGTCTCTGTACACCTACACCACCACAATGGATTTTAAAATTAATCAATCAATATGTGATTAAAAGTGTAGACTTTCAGCTTTAATTCAAGGGATTTAACAGAATCACCACATTGTAGCCATTAAATGTAGTCCATTATTTTCAGAAGCTCAAGGTTAAGGACAGCGGACAAACATTTTTAGGGCAGGGTGTCCCCTGACTATTTCAAGACATACTATGGTGCTCACAGGATGCATGCACAATCATTAAGGTAAGTAAATCCCAAAAGGTTGATTCTGTTCATCTGGACATATTGTTTTCAGTGGGAGGAACGTCACGAAACGCTGCGTCCAGACGAACAGAATCAACCTTTTGGGACGAACTTGGCTTAATGATTGAGCATGCATCACAAAACTTGTATTCAACTTATCTTTTATCACACTAGAACACTGAAAATGTATCAAATGTCTAAAATGAGACAATGTAATATTTAAAGCGAACATTAGCTCATTTTGATATTGATGGTAGCAACACACCTCAGAAGTTGGGAGAGGGTAGCATCCCTTCTTTTAACAACAATCAACAAATGTTTAAAACTGAGGAGATCAGTTGCTGGATATTCCAACAATTTTCTGCTTCTTCCAGATAAAAATGCTGCTCAAGCCCGTAATTCAAGAAGAGCTCCCATAAAAAAGGTGGTCCAAGGCTGAGGTTGCTGCAGTGATGAAGCATTTTAATGACCACATAAACAAAGGGAAACTGGCCACCAGAAATGAATGCAGTCATTGGAAACTGGCAGAGGAACCAGTGTTGGCAGGAAGAACAGTTCAGAACATAAAAGATTTGGTAAGACACAGGTTTATCTGCGAAACAGCATAAAGGAGAGTGTTATATCCACTAGGATTACTGTTAATGTTAATGTACTGTAATTAACCTTTTTTTTTTTTATTCAACTTCTTCTTTGAAATGATCAGCACGTTTGCATTAGTGGAAATAGAGAAAAGCTCTGTTTTATCACTTTGAATATTTTTTTATCACATTTGTTTGATTTTAAGACCTTTGAACTTCTCTTAGCTGTGATGTAGAGGCGACCAGGGGGTGGGACTTTAACCCCAGGTCTCATGACACATTACAGGGACTTGGAACTGAAAACTGGGTTTGTGTGTATGGTTATTCTGGAAAATGTGTTTGGTGCTTTGTGGTGCTCTTGTGGTCCTTGAGAAATGGTGCTTATAAAGTCCCTCTATAATCTGCACAAAAGAACTGCACATGTAAATGCACTATATGTATTAGCATGACATGCTAATGCATACAATGTTCTATTTCTGCTTCTACAGATAAACTCGAGAAGCAACCCCAGATCGGATCAAAAGTAAAATTGTTTTTTGGACGGTTGGGTGGATACATCATTTCCATAACTGGCCACCGAAAGGGTGTGGCCATCAACATGAGTATTGAGGAATAGAATATTTAGATGTACAATGAGATAGAGAGAAAATGAAGTATTGCACAGTGGTATTTTATAGAGGGAAAGCCCTTGGAATGGGGGGGCTGTGTTATCAGTGAATCAGAGGGGGTTTAAACGGTAGAAAAAAACTAAGCATGGTGCCCACATCATCCGTAAGTACGAAAACTATAAGAGTTATAGTTACCTAAGAGGCATATACATTGTTTAGTCAGCTGATCAGAGAGAATGAACATGTCTTTTGATTTATTAGGTTGAACAGCACAAGACTCAAAAGTACCATGGGCAAGCAGCGGTCCCTCTATAGGAACGAGCACGCCTGGTTGCAGCGTTACAGCTATTAGAGAAAATATTGAAGGCAGTTCGGAGGCATCTACTTTTTCCCCACAGTTCCAATGGAGGTGTTCATCATAAGCTACCGGAAATTTCAAGGCAGCCTGGGAGAAGATGAATATGGGGACTGCACCCACATTCAACATGCTATATTTCTCCAGTAGCACTTATGTAAGAAAACCTTTAATTTTTTAGACATACTATGAAGTAGGGTTGAAGTGTCATGGAATTTATTCATGTGGTTTCTTTTTAAAACATTAATTATTCTTCCCGGCCAAGCAACAGTTGGGACGTAAAACTTAACGACACAGTGGCAACATTTATGTGCTGTGATGCCATCACAGCCAAAAGGGTTTACCAAGGTTATTTAAACAAGTCAGACCTGTTTATGTTATACATTTATCTGTACACTTACATTTATTAATAATGAGCAATATTGCTTTGCACAGCTTAAGGACCCTGCAGAGGACACCCTCCAGAGCTGAGCACTGACAACGAATGCATTTTCAACATATGCAGCAAAGAAAGTGAAAAGGAGAGAGGACAGAGAATCTATGCAGGACAAAGACAATCAAGGATCTGACCAGGAAGAGCAGGAGTCATCAGGACCAGAGAAGCTTCTAGAAAGATGGCTCTCCCAGTGTCTGAATAACAAGGTATGTGTGCCCCGAATCCCAAAAGTGAGAGTTTTGATTGGTTGCACTCCTTTCATATATAATCTTTTAGTCCAACATGAACAAACGGCAGCACTACTAAATCCCTGCCCTGGTTCACAGAAGCTATTCACAGCTTTAGGTGAATTTGCCGTAAAACTAAGCGCCTGTGGAAAGCCACAAAACTTGAAGTTCATAAGCTCCACTATTATCTACCTTCAAAAACATGGTGAAAGATGCGAGAGCCACTTATTTCTCTGAACTACTCGCAGTAGGAAAAAGAAATCCTAAGGTTCTCTTCGACACAGTAAATAACATAGTCTCCCCCACAACTCCGTGCACACCTGTCTTTTCAGATAAGCACTGCAATGACTTTCTAGGATTTTTCCAAGATAAAATCAGTGGAATCTTGGGATCATTTTTGATCAATCACTGTCGTTTGATGCTCATATCAAGTCTGTGACCCGCTCCTGCTTTTTTCATCTAAGAAACATTGCCAAACTCAGGACTATTGTATCCAACGGTGAACTGGAGATGCTTGTCCATGCCTTCATCTCCTCTCGTTTAGATTACAGTAACGCACTCTTTTCTTGTCTGTCTAAGGCTTCCCTAAATCGCCTCCAAACGGTCCAAAATGCCGCAGCAAGGCTTTTATCCCACAGTCATAAATTCTCCCATATCACCCTGTGTTAAAATCCTTGCACTGGCTTCCGGTTGAGTACAGATATCAGTTTAAAATCCTCACTTTTACATGTCCCTACAAGGTGAGGCCCCACTTATATCACTGAGCTTCTCCAACCCTACTCTCCAAACCGGCTCCTTAGATCCACTGATAGTGGTCTTCTAACCATTCCACAGAGCCGTTTGAAAACGAAGGGAGATCGCTCTTTTCAAACCTTCCAATATTGTGGAACAGTTTACCTCCCCGCGACGCACCATCAACTCTGCAGCTACTTTAAAAAAAAAAAAAAAAACAGCTCAAAACACATCTGTTGAGACAGGCATTTAGGTAATATTCATGTGTAGTAAACAGTTTTATTGGATATGCTGTTATACCCTCTTTATAGTGTTTTATGGTTTCGATTGATATGCTTTTATTCCCATGTGAAGCACTTTGAAATAACTTCCTGTTTTAAAAAGTGCTAAATAGACCAATTTTACTTACAAACATATTTATATTCATATTTGTACCAGATGGGGAGCCTCCCTCAGGATGAAGGTGCTGGTGGTGCCAGAACCACAACCACAGGAAGACAATTCGGAAGAGGACAAAGGACAAGTACGGATAAGGGTTCCTAAGACAGCCACGAAAAAAACCCTGGGCGTCCTGTGTGTCATATACTGGGTTATGTTAGTGCTTGTGTTGAGCTGTGGGCATTGCAGCTTTATGCCATCTTTGCAGCTCCTAGCTGTTGCATGCATTGTTGTGCCGTTATAACTGATACCACAGGCGCCTGTAACTTTTACCAAATGCTTTTACCTGCAGGTAGGGGGCTGAAGTCCATTCCCGGCAGTTTGATTTGTATTTAAACCATAAATACCAACATGAAGCTGCATTTAGGTTTTGTTTTTTGTTTTTTTTATAAAATGTACAGGACAAGCCAATATTGATGATTACCAGTCCAATACCAAATTCCAACCGTGACTGAAGTTAGTCAGTCACTCTCAAGACACACGTAAGAACAATTCCTTACAAATGTCAACAAATGTGTAAATCCCGTTATTAAATTATCTTTTACAATAAAAGGACTTTTGTTTTGAAATTAGATCTTTGCCTTTGTGTGTACCTGATTCAGTTTTAAGTTTTCCTTCTGCTGAGGCATGCAATCTCAAAAGTTCTCAAACAGTTGTTTGACCATTTCCCCACAGAAAGACGAGGTTGTGGTAGTGTAAGAGCACGCCAGTATAACAAATCTGAACATTACAGCTAGACGAGCTACAGTTGTCACGGATCTGGGTTGGTGACCCTTTTTAAAAAAATTTTTTATTTAATTTAAAAGGGGGACGATAGATATTAATGAACATTTTAACAAATGTAAATATGCCAGATGATAGCTGTCACGTCCACTCAGACCCACGTGACGTGAAGGAAGGAGTTCAAAACTTTATTTACAGTACGTCACAGAACAGACAGGAGAAAAATGCAAATAAAAACGATGCTTTGGTGTGATTACGTGATTTGGCGTGAACTCAGGATGACAACTTAAATATAGACTGGAGGCTTTCAGATCATTGTAGACTTCAACCAATAGCTCAACTATCATCTCTGATCAATTATCAACACGTCGTGCTGCGAAAAAGCTGAGGCAGAAACAGCCAACAACTATGAATGTCCCTGAGACAAACTATGAATGAGAGGTAAGCTCAGATTTCCTACGACCTCTGAATGTTACACGAGGATAACACAAAACACTCAAGACAAATATCATTGATGCTGTCCTCTTGGGAGAAGCAGCTGTCCTCTTGGGAGAAGCACTACGTGGGTCACACAATCAGTATTACACATGAAATGGTCAGTGAGGGAGTACACGAGGGAGGCGTGGCTGTCATGGAGATGGAGATGGGGGGGCAACACTGGGTAACATCCAGAGCAGGAACCCCGGAATTGGGGTGGAAGAGAAAGGGACGTCACTGAAATAAGGACACAAGGAGGTCGGTTACATTCCCAGAAAAAGTCAGATTGGTAAACAGTCTCAGGCTACACACGTACACGGGTATCGTTCAAAACGCAGATTTTTCTATGCGTTTGGGCCTTTTGTCCACACGTAAAAAGCATTTTGGGGTCACTGAAGACACTTTTTTCCTGCCAGTGTGGAGATTTTCGAAAACTCAGTTTTTGCATCAAAAGGTGTGCATCATTTTTGACGTCATTCTGTGCGCCATGTTATTGTTGAAATGAGATACATTTCTACAATTGCGGGCTTTAGACAAAATACTGTTGCTGTTAATCTGACCATCTGCAATTTTACATGCTTACATATACACACACAGTTACTGTCACTATGTAGAAAGAGGCGTCAGAGTGAACTTCTTACGTGACTTCTACATTCAACACAGACGCTCTCACAACCCAAATCCCGAAGTCGGTTTTGAATAAATTCACTTTAAAAAAATTTTTTAAAAAAAAATTACATTTATGTATGCTGTATGTATTTTGTTCATTCCTAGGTTGTCAGTGTAGATGAACCAAAATGCTCTCTTTGGTGATTAACATTTGAAGCACTGGAACATGAAAAGTAACCCAAAATTATCCCTTTTCAGAAAAACAAAAACTTTTCAGAAGCACTTCAGGTTGTGAGGGCACAAAACTCTGTTTAGACTTTCATTTTAGTGTTTTCATGTGGACGGAGATTTTTTTTTTTCAAAACTTCACGTGTGGACGGGAGTTAAAACAAAACACCCTGAAAATCTCCATTTTGAAACATACTCATGTACGTAGCCTTACTCTCTACAGGCAGAGGCGAAACAGAGGGGGAGACGGTCTGCGGGAAACAAAGAGAGATCTTAGTGCACGGTCCATGTGCTGGGCAGGTGAGCATATCTAGTGGAGCTGCAAGTAATCCAGCAGTCAAACACAGTGAGGTAAAGGCAACCTGTCATCTGGAGGCTTGACTGTGAGCAAACAGCCCAGAATTAATTCCACTAAAACAATGGCAACATTCAACTACTGCAATAACCTTCACTAATGCAGATTCACGGACAATCTGGCAATGGTGGATTGCTGGTCTTATATCTCTGCAGCCTCATTGCTCACAGGTGCAGCTAGTCGGTGGAAACGAAGGGGCCCCGCCCAGGGGTGAAGACACCAGGAACACAGGTGCTTCACCCAGACCATAACAACAGCTTTTGGCTCATTTTCATCAGCAGACCCTCTGTATAAAAACATACAGATCATTTACAGACCATGTATATAGAGACAAGGACAAAAACAGTGATCACATTATATTAGAACAAACAATGACAACAAGAGTGGACAACATAGGCCAATATAGAAAACAATAATGGAAACACACCAGTTATATTGCACATAAGTCCTGTCCTGATATTGCACTGACCCATTACACTAATAACTGTGTCCTTTTTTGTAATGCTATAACTCTATTTCACGTGCAATATATAACCATGATTAATTAAACATGATCACAGCCACCCTTTTAAATTACTCCTAAAAATAGGGAGGCTTGTCCTTTCCCTCACTGACAGTGGAAGACTATTCCAGAAGCTCACTCTCTGATATGACAGAGCAGTCTGTGAAAAGGTGGTCCGTCTAAATGCCAATTCATAATCACCTCTCACAGTGGCTCCAGTCAGTCGAGACCCGGCAACACTGCTAGACTTTAGATTAATAAGATCACTCATTGGTGGAGGCGCCCCACCATGTATAACCTTGTAGATCAGACAGGCACATTTAAATAATTTGAAATTGATAAAATTTAAAAACTTGTATTTATCTAAAATTTGACAATGGTAGTATGACAAAGGTTTCTTGTCTAATATTTTCAATGCTCTTTTGTAGCATACTTAAATTGGCCCAATAGAAGCAAGACTCGTATAAGACCAACTTGTAATACAGTATGGAGTATGAGCCAGTATCATAGAGTAATGTAATCGCTGCTGTGTCTGTTAATGAAGTGCGAATATGTCTAAAGTTCCGTATATTAACATTTACAGTTTGCTACTCTTTAACGGTTTTTTTAAAGGATAATTTCAAGTCTAGTAGCACTCAAAAAATACTTAAATTCCTCAACATTAATTAGTTCTTGTGCACTCAATCAAACTTTTATGCAGCCACGGTTGTTTTAGGTTTACTAAAACACAATGATACGTTTTTAAAAAATTAAGGCACAGGCATGAGTCATTCAGCCATTTTTGTAAATCGCGTAATTCCAATGAAAGCTGATGGGCTGCAAAATTAGCAGCTTTGGCTTGTGGAGAAATTACCGTATCATCAGCATACACGATCGCGTCCACATTTTTGCACACATTGGGCAAGTCATTTACATAGAGTGAAAATAACAGGGGGCCTAGAATTGAACCCTGAGGTACACCTTTCGTACAGTGAAGATGGGGTGACTTACTATTCTTTATTTGCACGCATTGTTTTCTATCTAATAAATAAGACTGTATCCATTTAACAGTGTGATTACTAAAGTTAAATGTTGACAGTCTAGATAAGAACTCAAACGCATGCTTAAAATCAACAGAAACAGCCGCAACATAACGGCTCTTGTCTAAATAAGACTTCACCATCTGAACAAAAGCAGACAGTCGTTTCAGTTGAATGAAGAGTGTGAAATCTGAATTGCATAGGGTGCAAACCGGGTTGGAATCATTAAGATGCTCATTGATAGAATTCACAACCCACTTTTCCGCTATCTTTGAAAAGATAGGGACCAAAATACAAGATTTACAATGCTTAAAAAAAACTCGGTGTCGAGTCCGTGCCTCTGTCCCTGTCATGTGCTTCCTGTTTTATTTTGATAGTGGTGTTTTGTGTTCAGCTTCTGTTCCCCGTCTGCCTGATTACTTCCAGCTTTGTCTCCCACTCCCTGATTTCTCCCTTGTGAATTTTAGTCCTGTCTTCCCAGTAGTGATGTGTCGGTCGCGAACGAAATGGCTCTTAGAGCCGGATCTTTGACGTGAACGACACGAGCCGGATCCTTATCGCGTAGTGATGGGATTTCCGGCTCTTTTTAGAGAACTGGCTCTTTCGGTTCTCCCAGACAGTTGTTGTTGCATCGTACCCTCACACAGGTGTGTAATTCCTCCGTGCTCCTGGTTAAAGTGTAATTTGTTAGTTTTTTTAGTCTTTAGTTTCGTAGGTCTCAAGTTTTCATGTTAGTTCCCTATTTCCCAGTTTATATGTTCTGTTCCCTGCATTTTGGCATCTGAGTTTTTCAGCACAGTAAAGCTGCCTCTTTCAGTTCATTCCTCCATGTTCCGAGTCCTGCGTTTAGGTCCTTGCAGCAGGCCTATGTAAGCCCAAACACAGCAAGGATTTTGACTAAGAATTCAGAAAAAACGTGATTCACCAAACCAGTTTGTTGAAGATGCACATTGTTCTGCAGTCAAGTCTCTTTGAAGTCACCATACTAATATCTGTTTAACTGGGAAAAAAACAGTTGTGAAAAAAATACACAATTAAAAAGGCTTTTAAGGTGAAGTGGCATTTATTTATTTCTGATATGGTTTTAGGTCACAACAAAAAAGACCAAGTTGGATTCACACCTATACCAATAATCGACACAGGTACCCACCCACTTGAAAAGTAAAGGCAAGTAGGCGGAGCAGTTAGTACTTCGTTTGTGCAGATTTGTGCAGGTAAAATTATCGTTTGTGCTGCTTTGATTTTTGAGATATTACACTTTATTTTATAGGTCATTCAAAGGTCAACATCCCAGACTGCTCGATAATGGACCAAAGTGGTCTACTCTTGTGCTGTAAGGAGTGTCATGGCCAGTAAGAAATGTCATGTGACAGACAGACGGCAGTTAACAGTTCAATTGAACTCCAGTGTTTCATGAGAAATACAGATCTCTCCTTGCACACTTGCCACTCCAAGCAGTTCATGTCTGAAAACCTGCGTGAACAGATCGCTAAAGAGTTGTGTGAGGGCAGAATGGAACCAGCTGTATGGAGGTCAGCGCAGGCAGCAGATTTGATGGATGTTGGAGATCCTGAGCCAAGCCACTTTCCAAATTTGGCCACTGTGCGAAAAACCAAACAAGAGAGAATAGACTTGGA